TGGCTGAAGATATCCATTGTCTTAACTTGCAGTGAAATTGTAGGAGTCAGCACCAAGACACAGGGAAGAATAAGACAGAATTAAGTAGTGTTTATCAAATACTGGAAACCAGGCATTGCCAACTCTTTGTGATCCCTCAGGCTGTGCAGTGAAACAGTGTGGATGTGAGAAAACAGCAAACTTATAGATTCTGGAATTTAGAGGGAAATATGTGGGTTTGATTCGCAGGTCGACTCTTTAATTAGCTATGCGTCTCAGGTAAGCCGCTCTGTGGTGCACACTTGCTGCAGGTCCTGAGTGCCCCCTCTGTAAAAGGCGGTCAGTCGTAGCACTCTGGCCACCAACCTCAACACGTTCTGGCAGAGGTGGAAACACTGAGCACATTCTACGAAGTGACTTAAATTTGTTAATTTCTAATAGATTTGTCCAGTGGCACAGATCTGCTTTTCATTTACAGAATGACTCATCACTACTTAGAGAGGTAAGGGCAGCAGGTTAAGAAAATGTTTATTGAATTAGTAAGTTGTCCTAAATATTTGTGGAACATTTTGGTAATCAGGAGACACCAGCAATAGGACTACACATGAGCCCTTTACCCCCATGCAATGTAACTTTCTATTTCTCACACATAAAAAGGGAGTGCAAGGCCTACCTTTACATACTGATACAGTGCCTACGTCCTTATGGAAAAGCTTTCCTCAGGAAGAGAATGTTAGAATTATATATACTGTGAGTCGTATATTACTGTGTGCCATTTGCAATAAATTTAATTGGAACCTGCTTTAAGGGACATATATAAAACCAGGTTCAGAAATAAAACCGAATGTTTCCCAAAATAGGTCCTTGATTCATATTTCAGCAAATGTTAATTGATTGGATGCAAAGTCCTAAATCACTTACCCTAATGCATTTATAGTCTCATAGTTATTAATACTAATAACAAAATTGAATGAAATAAAAATAAGTACCTACTCTTAAGGGAGGGCAGTGCATATCCTGACCCTCCAGGCAGGCCTTTTGCTTGGTACCTCGCCCAAGAATTCTTCGCTAGATTTCCCATCACAGCAACATCCTAGTAACACTCAGACATGTGGGCATCTGTTACGTAGCAGTATGCTTAGACTTAAGTACTTTTGGGCCTACATTACAGTCTTCACTGTGTACCAAGAGGGATGTCAGTGACTGGAAAGGCTTTGGAACATTTTGCCCTGTCTGGCGGTCTATAAAAGGGTGGAAGTTCTGTACTCCAGCAACGGGGATTTGAGGGAAGGGCAGCAGGTCTGAAACAAGCTTTTGTTTCTGTGGGGCAGAGGGTCGGTGGCTAGATTTTAAAATTCTATTATTATTTAAGAATACCACTTATAAAAAATGTCTGAGCTTGTTGTTAAATCCTAAAACACTTTCAAGTTCATTAAATATTATGAAACATTTAACTTGAAAATGAATTCAAATAGGATGATATACAAAAGGAACAAGAAAGTTTTCGGGGAAAATAAATTCAAAACATTTAGGTTATATAACTTCTGAGTTTTAATTTGTAGCTTATGGCAGTTTGCAGTAATTTAAATAAGTTTCTATGGTAGAATTCAAAGATCTAGAACTTCTAAAATTGTCTCATTTTTGTTCTCTTTTCCTTAATAGAGATGATTTCTAAAATGTAAGAAAAGTATATCTCTTTTTCATAGAATCAAAAAGACTCCTATGTTGTGAAAAGCCATCAGCTAAATGCTTCTCCTTATCCCTTAGTTTATGTCCCACAAATCACTGCATCAAAAACCACAGGTCTCTGAATTGAACAAGTGGTACTTTCTCAGAATAAAGAATTTTGCCTTTACATTGTATGTTATTCACAGTGAATTTTAAGAACATATTGATTATAGTAGTTTTCTGAGAAACCAACTGTATTGTCTCCACTCTATTTCACACAAAGAAAAAGTTTGTAAAAATTTAAATGTTAACAGTACTAGCTAATATACACTTCGTAGTTTAATAGGTCTAAAGATAGGAGATAAAAAATTGTTGGCTTGGTCGTGAATATATTTAATGGAATGGCTAAAGTTAAAAATATTAGTTACATTTTTATTTAAATTTTAATCATGTAATCATAAAAATATTTACTACTAAAAGTATGACGTATGGTAAATAATTTCTAAAATTATAAAATAACAAAGATAAATACTTTCATCTGCTGTATAGATGGGCTTCCGATAAAACTATTTATTGGTGGTTCCAATTCACTTGTGATTCCAGTTTATTGATTTGTATTTTGATCTTTGCAAAGATGTTTAAAGCTGTGACTTGAAAATATTTGTGTCATCAGATGATAGCACATCACACTTGCAGACTGATATGGAGACTGTGAAAAAGAAGATTCTTGGTAATTTATATTAAAACCACGCTTCTCATATGAGGTCATCTCTGTTTCTGTTTTGAGACCCACTGTCTAGCCCATCTCTTCACGTTTAAACATGACCTTAGTTATGCTTTGCCAAATATGTGCCTTTACCCTAAATTTGAAATTTGGGGGGTAGGGGGGGAGGAAGTGATTCTTTCCCCTTTCTTCGTCAATGGTAATATCGTTATCACCTACCAGTAATGATGGGATATACTCTGCTAGAAGCTGGGGTTATCAATTGGTTTAACACACTCCTTTGAGGATAATTGTCAGGAAACCCTCAAAGATAAATACCTCATTTATCTGTTTAAGCTTGATGTGTCTTATTCAATTTAATAAATAGTTGGTGATGGCCCATTATGTTAAAGAGGAAAAACAGAAAACTAGCCAGACGGAATCATCATTTCTTAGTCACCTCTTCTTACAGGACTGGCTCCCTGATAGGGAAGCAGTAAACTTCATGGTGTCAAGTTCTGCACTCCGAAAGGGCAGGTTTGAATCTTTTCTTTCCATTATTAGTCATTTATCTGTGGGAAAGTTTAATGTCATCCACAGCTTAACTTTATCATTCAAATGGAAATGATAGCTTCTTTGTATCATTATCTGTGCTAAAGATTAAATGTCAGTTTTTTACAAAAGTTGTTAGCACTTAGCACAGTATCTGACACAGAAAACTCTTAATAAGCCCAACTGCTACTGTTAGGCCATTTGCTTTCCATGTTGCATTCTGGATGACTTTTCATTGAAAACTGCCCTTTAGGGAGGAGGCCCAGAAGAGAATAGAGCATCGTGCTAAAAGGTTGACCATTGCTGAGTTTTTTGAGAGGATTATTTTTATTGTGACCTCGAGGAAATTATTTACTTCCTTGAACCTCAGTTTTTCTCATCTGGAAAATAGGCATAATAGTTCTTATCTAAGAGGGTTCTCATGACTATTAAATGAATAACAGGAGTTTAATATTTGTAAGTACTTAAAACAGGGCCTGGCACACAGTTTTTGTTAAATAGAACAATTAAATAGAACTATGTAAGTCACTAGCAATACACAGTTGTTAATCTGTTGATCATCTTGTTGTCTCTTGGTTGCTGAGGAATCCCAAACCAGCCAACACTTTGGAGACAGAGTTTCAAATAAAACCATGCATGCCACTCATTTCATTTAGGGAGACCATCCTGAGAACTCCCTGCTCTGGAGAAATCTGCAGTTCAGGTGAACAAAACCCTGTCAATCATTCTCTTCATCGACACAAGCAGGAAGGAAAGAAAATACTATGCTTTATACTCGCTACTGAACAGAACATCTTTCTTGCCAGGAAATTAGATGCTGCTTTTTTTCCCTGTTGGTGGCATTTGTGAATGTGAAGGATTTACTTGGGGAATGTTTCCTAGGACAAGAAAGTCAAAGCATAATTGTCATCGAATAACCATGAAATGTTCTTGAAGTGAGAGTATAGCCTTGAAACGGACATTCAAAAGTTGCTTTTTTTTGTACTAGACACATAGCAGGAACATGTGACTTTATATACGATGTTAAATGGACATTGCAGCCCAGCCCCGTTTCTCTGTGATGTTCATGCCATCCTCCCCCTGTTCTTTTTACTGAAAGGACACCATCAAATGCAGAATGTTAGCATTGATGAAATGTCAAGTATGACAGGGAGTTTCTATTTCTGAAAATGTGTAAGATTTCAGGGTTAAACTGAGTCAGTTGTGGGTATTCTTAATTTTAAACTACGTGCTTTGACACCTATTTAGAATTATTTCTTTCTTGTTAATATATTCTTCCTTTTTCTTCCCCTGAGATATTTCAAAGTATATTTTAATGGAAGTGGTTTTCCCCCGATGGGAATGGCTTCTTGGTTTGTCAGCAGAATGCATCTCCGCAAACTCTTCAATTCTCATTCTCTTTTCACGTGTTCACCTTCTGTTTCCCTTTATTATGCGGCAGACTAGTAGGTGTTTGCTATCGACGGCTGACTGAATGATGGGTTTGTATTTTTACCCCTTTCCATTCTAATGGTGTAGACTTTTTTTTTTGGCTTACTGATATTTCCTATTTATCTTTTACTAATTTAATATTCCCTAAAGGCAAATCTATGGATCTTTAGGCAGATTTATGTAGTATTTGAAAGAAACTAACTTTCAAGGGAGGCCTCATGTGAAAATACTTTCCATTCCTTTTAAATATTTTGTAACATTTTTTGGTTCTTTTTTTCCCAGGTTTTAAAACTTTTAATTTGCATATTAAAATTGTGCATTCCAATAATTAAAATCATTTTAACAAAAAAATGGCACTGATTAAACTGCGTTTTACAGCCTGCAGGACACCTTGGACCAGCTTGGTTTTACTCTAGATTTCATGGTTGTCCCACCCAGCTTCTTCCTTCACCAACATGCAAGTTCTTTTCCTTCCCTGCCAGCCAGAGAGGCAGATGGGAGGGGCAGGTGTGGCCTTTATTGTCAGTAGCTCTGATGTGAAAAGGGGCAGCACAGTCATTTAAACTGATCCAACCTCTTTGCAGCTTACAAAGTTAAACAGCTAAAAAAAAAAATAAGAAGACAATGCTTGTGCAATGTACAGCACTTATTGGTGGTGCAGGCCTCATTACGATTTGCCCACTTGCTTCTCCTGTTCAATCCTTTCTTTGGAAGGCAGTGGATTTTTCTCTTGTGTTTCTGTCTTCTTCAATCTCGACTTACCGAATTTCTCGATCTTGGCCGTATCGGGTTTATCAGACATGGTTGCTGAGGAAGCCGAGAGAGGTGCTCAAATGAGGGAAGAGTCCAATGTGCTCGGTGACTGCCACCGAATCTTTTGGTTAAGTTCTTAATACCAATCGATGCATTACCACCGGCCCCTGTGGTTTGCCATTCATTGACAAAATGAATGAGCCTTGACCTCTAGGGAAAGTTGTGCTATAAATTCAAAACAATCTTTGAGAATTTTCCATCCATAGCCCATAAACACCAAAATAAATATACTCTTATATCCAAGCATATATGAAATTTTGTATATGTTTTATCTACTACAGAAAAATGAAAATACTTGGCATTTACATGGCTGATACTGTAACTTTGGTCAGACATGTTGGTAAGAACACCGCCCTAACAGTAAGTTGGCTCAAATTAGCACATTGTAAAGACTGTTGACTTAGATGGTTCATTGTTGCAAAGTTCTTTTTCCATCCTCTTGGGTTACATCTATTTCACAGAAACACTGGAGATTGTCTAGCTATTTGGGTGTTCTTAATAGCTACTTGTGGCTACAAGGTAATTGAACTCACTTTGAAAGCATGTCTTTTCATAGAAGTGATTTATTGTTAACTGTCACTAATTAGCTTTCTGACCTTAGAGAAAGTACTTAACCTCTTGCTGGTTCTCAAATTCCTTGCCTGTAAACTAAAGGGATTGCGCCAGATGATTTCAGCTGGCTCTTTTTACTTCTAAATATCTATGACTGGCTGAAAAGTAGAAGTGAAATCTGTGCGGGGCTTTGAGTGCCCTGTAGTCTGAGATCTGGATATGCTTGCTTCCCAGTGTCCCTGGGTGTGGCAGGGTGGGATGCTCAGGACCCCACTGCCTCCCTGGAAGTTAAAAGGCCCCCTTCTTTAGTGTCTTGGGCATGGACTTTCTTAGCATATGTTCTGCGGCTACATTTCCTCTGTAAATGGGAATAATAATAATAGTATGTATCTCCAATGGTAGCTGTCATTAGTAAGTGAGATACTATCTGTAGAGTTCTATGTGTTTGGCATGGATTATTAGATAGTTCAGTAAGTACTAGCTATATTCCCAACTCACATTGGTTTCATATATCTCTAAATCTTAGAAATAATCTAAATAACATAAATTTAAGTAAACAGATAAATAATCTAAATCTTGGAAATGCTCTAATTTTTATAAAGAATAGAAATTAGAGTGCCAGGGTGGGCAAGATTTGTAGGTTGGTGCAGGGTCCTGGGTAGGCTCTGGAGGGAGGTCAGGGTTGTATCCAAATCTGTTCTTCATTAACTCAGTGACCTTGGTCAAACTAAATTCTCAGAGTTTGTGTCTTCACTTGTGAAGTAAGGAAAACGATTTCTAGTGAAGATGAAATGAATAGAAGCGGAAACACCTGTTGCATAATAGGCTTGTAATTGCTTGTTTTCTTCTCTTGGTGGGGATTATAGAGATGGACGACTTAAACTTCTTCCAGTATTTTCTCATACTTTGAGAAGGACTGCACTGAAACCAGGGTAGGCCATAAGTCTTTATTTTATTTTGAAGAAAAGATTCCCTGGGAATTAGATTTCATAGCTTGCTTCCATTGTCCTAAACCAAATGAAATTCAAGCTAATTTCCTCCTGTTCTTGTCTAAGTAAGGATAAAACCCAGCTGGTGACTATCGTCTGGGAAATATTCTTTTGCATTCCAAGGTCAACCATTAGTCTTCCATTCTATGGCATTAAATAATGCCATTTTCAATAGACATGGAAATATGTTTACTTTTTTTGTTCTTTTACACTGAACTCTCTCTCCACTTTAGTATATTTTTTACAGTAGTCCAAAAGGTTGCATGAAAAAATTGAAAAGCATTAGCACATTTATTAATAATTATTAGCTATAAAAAATGGTAAATAGTTTAGTCAACATCACTTTTACTGAAAGAGCACTAAGACATTTATGTTGAATTCTAGATATTGATGGCATAGTAGCATTATGAAGCATGGTAATATTAAGATATGAATGACTTTTCCTTTCATTCAGGGAAGTATATAGGTACAATAAAGTACTTACCTATTTTTTGCCACTTTAATACATTATCCTGTTAGATTTTCACAGCCTCCCACTAGGTAAGTTGAATTACCACCACTTTGTGGGTGAACATATTGAGGAATGGCACGAATAAGTGACTTGCTTAATGTTACACAGATCACGTGAAACAGAGCTGAGAGTGAACACTGCTTAGCAGAACTGGTGAAGCTTTCTCTACACAATTTCTACTAGCTCAGGCCGTGTGATTTTTCTAGATGTACATACTACAAGGAAAAGTCTTTTGTGTGAGAAATATCTGGCAGCTTATGTGCAGCCCCTGGCCCTTTGACAATGCCCCCAGAACCCACAATACTTGTGTGTCCTAGAGAATCAGTGCAGAGACCAAGGGCTGCACGAGCAGATCTCTCCAGAACCGTCCCGAGACACAGTCCTAAGGTGCTGGGAATGAACTTCAACCCCGTCAGAGGACATCTGAGTACCCAGAGGCCTGCTGTTTTCTCTCTGGGGGGGTTGGACATGCTTGATAACAGGGGGTGACACAGCCAGAGTTCCATTTGTGACTTAGGATTTAAATAAGATCAGAATTAGGATGATTGAGCAAAACATACATATGGCTACAAAATGTTAAATCTCAGAAATGATGTGGAGAAGGAAGGATCTGGAAATAATTTCAGTGGCAAGAAGGTAGCCTGCTCATCCTGTTGAACACACCTTGTAACATAAGGACCATTGGAACCAATCCTTTTAGCCTATGTTTAAACTGAGTTACAGTCCTCTTTAGAGTTCAGTGAAAATAATAGTAATGACCTATTTTGTTCTTCTTCATTATAACTGTGTGTAAAAAGGGACTTGCGAGAAGAAATACTAACATTTTCATTTGGAAGTTAAATTTTTGCAAAATTCCTATAGAAAAGTACTCTAAAAACAAGGACAGGGAAAAACATCCTTGTTGGAAAGGACACTAGAAGTGTTGGCATCTCAGAGTGGCCTAGGGACCACACTGGGAGAGTGGGTTCTGGGCCTGCCCTAACTGCTGGTCTGACGGGCATGCATGTGGCTGCTTCACTGTGCTTCTCAGGAGACCGAATTCAGTTCTTGCTGATACCATGGGTCAAGACTACAGATCTGTAAAACTGAGTTGTTCTAAGTGACCTTTAACCCTTAAAATTCCAAGATTTTACTTACATATTAGAACTGACAAAACTGGAAATTTATACAACAAATGTATAAATCAATAACATTTAACAAATAAACTATAATAAAAGGCTTTCCTAAAAATTGTAAAAGAAATAAAGATAGTCTTTGTGTCTGTTCCCATAGGCTATAATACACCAATTTTATTTTGATACCTGTTTCCAATATTAAAATTATATATTTATTAAAACAAGATGACATCCATTGTTTCCTTTTTGATGCAACAATGAAATATTTAATAGTTTTTGTGAATGAATATTTCAGTAATTGGTAGAAAATATATATGTAGTGGAAACTCACTTTTAATAAATGAGATATTTACCATTCTAGTTAATAAAACTCATATATCAAAGGATAGTTTTATATAACCAAGTCAAGTTATAAAAGGCTGCACAGTTGTAATTTTTACAATAGCAAGTCTCTTGATGCTTTTAAAATGAATGTACTTCTATAGAAAAATTAAAATTATATATGAATTTAACAATACATCTATTTTATGAAGAAAAGTATTACACTCACAAGTCAAAAGCATTATAATTGACTCTTGCTTTTTTGAGTCACTGTTATTTTTCTTATTCCTAACCTAAGGCACACAGTAGAGTGATCTGAAAAGAATCTTTAGGCTTGGTGTCAAAGTCCCTTTGCTGGTGTTGGTCATTGCTATCTTTTGGAAAAGTTCTCCAAGTAATTTTAATGTGAACTCTCTGATTCAGAATCACTGTTTTATGCTTACTAAGATTTCCCAGGAGACTGATTTTAAGTTATACTTCATAGCACCTAGTAAAACATCCTTTATATTAAGCATCACCAATACACATTTTTTGAGTAATACACTGCTCAACTAATATACGAACTGAACACACATTGAACATCAACTATAAGATACACTGTTAGTTGTCTGAACTTGAAGAAGATTTAAGCAGTTTATGGTCTTGAGATGGTTTATTCCTTGATGCATTGCATATTTCTTTGTGGAAGTGGAGAAGCAAAAAACACCAGCTGTTTTCCTGGAGCTGCAGCTGACTTTCATTATAAAATTTCAACATGAACTAATTCAGATATAAGGGATACTTTCTTTTATGAAGGGAAAAAGATTTATGTTCTAGTGAAATATATACATCAAAGCTATCTCTATACATTGCTGTTTATAATGTAATGGACCCATTTTAGAAATTGTATACTGAAGGCCACCTTGCTCATTTTAAATGCATTCCTTTACCAATAAAGAGGGATCTTGTCACCACTGAAATCTTGCTGAATTGCTTTGCATGGAATTTTAAATATTAAGTGGAGGCAAGACCATGTAAATAACTGTTAATAAGTACTATATAGATGCTACCCATAGCCTCTCAGCCTTTAGCTTAATGTGAGGAAGTCCTGAGAATATAGGAAAGGCACTTGGTTTGTGATGTTTCAGAAATCAGATGTGTACTTGATACACTGTGTACTCGTATTTTAAGCAGCTGGAAATATCCTTTCCCACTACCTCTGAATCACAATGAAGAATGAATCAATGAGTGCCCAGTGAGTGCCTGCTTTGGATAGTGCTCAGCGCTATCTATGTCTTTTGTCAGATACAAGGCAATATAAGTCGTAGCCTCTCCCTCCAAGGACCCCCCATAGATGGGGAGAAGGGGTGCACACATGAACAATAGAGGCAAACACTGGTGTCAAAGCACATCGTAGAGGTAAGAGGAAAGGAGCCAGCAGCGAAGGGCAGTCTCATGCCACATGGGAAGAATAACTTGGGGGAAATACAACTAGGTGGATCTTAGACACGTGTGGTGAGGA